CTTCTCAAGGTCCAGGAAGGCTAGGTAGCAGGGTCGCCGCTTCTCTCGGTACTTCTCCATCAGCTGTCTGGCGATGAAGATGGCGTCAGTGGTGGACCTTTCGGGCATGAAGCCGAACTGTTCCTGCGAGATAGGGACAAGTTCCCTCAGCCTAGTGTTGACCAGGCGCTCGTACAGCTTCATGGTATGGGGAGTCAGCTTGATCCCGCGGTAGTTGGAGCACTCCGTCGCGTCCCCCTTTCTGTTTGAAGATGGGGGAGACGATTGTGTGCCTCTCCCACGCATTCGGCATCCTTCCTTCAGCTGTTACGTTGTTTAGGAAGTGCGTGAGCCAACTCACCCATGCTCTCCAAGGGCCTTCCATGCCTCTATCGGTACCCCGTCTGGACCCACTGCTTTCCCAGCTTTCATTCTCCCTAGCTCCCGGCGAACTTCATCCTTCGTCCAGGGAGTGATGGGACCTGCCGTCGCCTCTATCTGTGGGCTATCCTTGCGAGGAATTCTTCGTTCAGAAGTCCCTCGAAGTATTCTTCCCACCTCTTCCTGACTTCGGCTGGTTTCCTGAGAATGGCCCCGTTGCTGCTCTTCACAGTCTTTACGACCCTGATGTCCTGAGCTGCGCGATGCCGAGCTTTAGCCAGGCGGAAGACGAACTTGTCCCCTTCTCGGCCTTTCCAGCTTGTCGTACAGGGCGTCCATTTCCGTATTCTTGGCCTTAGCAACGGCCGCCTTAGCGAGTCGCTTGCAGCTCTTGTAGGCAGCGTAGTCTTCTGGGCTCCGTGTCTTTTGCCAGCGTTTGTATGCTTCCTTCTTCTGCTTGACGATCCTCTGGACTTCCTCGTTCCAGAACCAGGCTGCCTTGTCTCCTCGGATACCGCCTCGCGTCTCTCCCAGGACTTCTTTTGCGCACTGTAGGATGACCTCTGCCCTGCCCGTGCTCCAGCGGGTCCGGGACTGGCCATGTGGGTCGGGAGCCAGCTCCAGTATCCTTCGCGCGAGAGCTATTACTTTCGGGTGGTGGCGACACTGTCAGTACTGTCCCAGTTACCGTCCATCGTGGTCCATTCTCACTCATGACCGGTCACTGCATTCTGTTCACGATGAGAGCAGTCCTCAGGGATTTCCGCTACAGTATGGCACGCCATTCGTTTAGGTGTCTGCTCCATTGTAGAAGAGTTTGACACCTTCTCCAATCTCGCGGGCCTTTGCACCTTTCCATCGCGTTTCCTGAAGGCATAGGACTTGGATGTTCCTGCGCCTCATGAGGTCGGCAACCTCGCGAGACTTCCCGGTAAGCGACCCCACGTTCAGGGTCCCAATTCGAACTAGCTTCTTTGGCCGAGGTCGTTCACCCCTCGGTAGCCCTCGCATACTGACCACAGAACTCGGGCGAGGGTTCTGCGCGCCACTTCCGGGTGACGTCCTAGCTTTTACACTGATACTTTTGCGACTTGTCATGATGTTGGTTTTCTCCATCGCGGGCCTTCAACCGGGCTGGACGCATGGCAACGTCTCCATTTTTTGCAATTTTTGAAGGCATGGTTGTGGGCTCGGCAGGATTGTTATCGCTGACCTAGCGTGGGTTCGCGTAACACGAGCCGTCTTTCGTAACCACTCGGCTATCCCTGCCTCGGAGTCGGCAGTGCGGTCGTTGGGCTACTATTGCGACTGCGCTCTCACACGATGGACGAGAACGCAGCCACATACCTGTAACATTCGGAGCCAATTCATACCTCCTTCATCCTATACTCTCTTAAGACGCTAGCGGAACGGCGGGATCAATACAAGTCGGTACGTCATGCAACATTCAAGTGCGGTATTCGCCTTATGGGCTGCGTGTTCGTCGCCAATGTCTAACCGCATACTTTATAAAACCCCGCATTTTCGCACATCGCTGCGCCAGAACACTGCCGTGTTGTAAGGGTTTTCCTGTGTCCGTGTGACGCGTTCAAATAGACCCTATTTCTATATAGATCCACTGAACAGACTCAAAACTGATTTAGATATGACCAATTTTCGAAGGGGAAAAAATTTTAAAGGTTATTCGATGAGTTTTGAAGAGCGACAGCCTACAAATGGCTAGTCGTCCTTTAATTGTGAACGTTGTTGCCCAAGCTTACTGGTATCATAGTAATCTGGTAAGTCAGCGGTTCTACATTTGCGTTCAGTTTCTCTAATCACACCGCCAAAATTTGTTATTCAGACATCTTTATCGAAATTGATATCGACGTTCGCTGGAGAAGTCTGTAGCCGCGCTAATACGGAAAACGATCTTTGGTACGCCCTGAGGCTTGTTGTGCCCTTACTGCAGCGATGTTACGATTGGCGAGAGAAAGTGAAGCATGAAGAGGTAAGATATGACACAGGTATGCTCCGCCGTCCGACGTGCTATCGAAGAAGCTTCTGGATGTGTCAGAGGGAAAGTGGTGTTCCTTTCCTTATTCTTTTCCGATTTTTCGCGGTATTTGGGAAATAACTTTAAGAATAATTCTTGAAGACAGCTCCGCGATAAAAGTTTCATGGATATTGGTCTCATTCAATTATGAATTAAGTAGCGTCATAAGTGATTATCCGAAGAAGAAGAAAAAAGAAGGGTCCTCAAGAACACCATAAACAAAATCGCTCACTGACAGTCACACCGCCCTGCGGTCGCTTGCAACCCTGCTCACAAATCATTTCTGTACATCTCGCCAGAGCGGATATATCCCAATGCAGAGAAAAGATACAAAAAAAACAACAAAACACAGAGGAAAAAACCCATTAGAGTAAGGAAAAGAAACTCTTTTAAAAACCCGGTCTTTCAACACTCCGTCCTGAATTTAGAGGACGCTAGGTGATATTTTAGGGTATTGAAGTGCGCTGAGCCTTCCGTGCACCAGAAAATTGGGTCCGCTCGTGATTTTTACGCGTTTTACGTTGCGAGATGGGTTGGAAATGACTGTATGTGCCCCTAATGGATAAAATGTAATAAAGGAGAGCAGAATCATTCATGAGCACGCAACGCGGTCAGCGAAAAAGCGGCGACCTAGTGATTTACGATTAATGCCCGCCACCCCCACAAAGAACAACTGAGCGGCCCTCCGTTAGAGGTCATCTAGCAAGTGGGCGGTCCAACTGGGCGGGCGTTAGAACTAGAACTTTCAGCGGCTGTAGCTCGCTAATCGCTCGCTGTGGAGTTGCGAGAGTGGGGCAGTCTCTAGCTTGGGGGCTGTACTACTTGCACAAGGAAGGACGACCATTACACTACTTGAGCGTGGCGGAAGTGTTTTTAAGTACACTGCATGCGGAAGAAATAGGCCTCGAAGAAAGTTTTTGCGGTTCTGCTGATAATGATCTTAGTTATTGCGAACATTTAATTTGATTTAACCCAAAGATAGAGCGCCACTTGAAAGCCTGAGGGTCAAAAAACGCCAGAAATTAAAATTCCTCTTCAATCTAATGTAAAACGGGACTGCTGTTGTAGGTGCTCAATGGTGGGGTGATAGCGGGGCTACTTCACAACTTTTCGAAAACATTGTGTACATTGTGTTAATTTCACTAGTTCAGAGCCTGAAAGTGGTTAGTGTATTGTATACGAAGATTGGAGACATCACCGAACGTTATGGCGATATTTTGCACGGAGTAAGCTTTTCATAGTTGATATAATTACTGTGGTGCTATGTTGTTTCCACGGAAATTCTTCGTTGTTAGGATGAACTGTGCGATCTGCTGTACTACTTCAAGTACATGTTCGTTGGCGATTTCCTGAGAAAAGAAGCTGAAGCGGCGTTTCCAAGGTGAGTCTTCCAGTTTGCTGTTGGCATTGGTTGTGATGGAGATGTTGTTAAGGTTTCCACCACGTATGCGAGAACGGCTCAAGTTCTACACCTCGTTCTCGTCGAACAAGGAAAAAGACGAGGAATGCCATACAAAAATGAGCGCTGTCAATCGGCCTGATCTGGCAAAGTTATTGAAATCTCGATCAAATGCGGCTGAACGATCAGCTGAAAGTTCAATGAGTGGTGTTGATCACTAGAATGCAAGGAGGTTCAGCCATCTTGTTCTGAAGCTCTTCTTAGAGCATGCAAGGAATTGGTTTCTCAGTTATTGATCTCATTTGCTGTAATACTAGTATTCAATATCCGTTAAAAATTGTCTGGAAACTACGTTCTTCACTCTGCCTCAAGAGGACTCATCTTAGTAATTATAGAGCATTATTTAGCACGGGCCAATTTAGCGTGTCAGAGTTGCAGAGCACATTATCGCCTCCCAACCTTGATTGTTCGCTAGAGTCTAGACCACAAAAAGGATAGATCATAAGTTGTGATTGTACAAGTTGTAATATTGACTGTTTTACGTTTCACGACGGTTCTTTTACTACGGATATTTAGTAGTGCATGTACATATTTCTTGGTAATAAAGGTGTATATCCTAGGTTCTGTTTAGTCTGATCACTTGAGCATCTATGGTATCGGACCGTAATGCTACTGTAGTTCCAACTAGGAAATGTCGTATGATACTGTAATCAGTTGAAGGTGAGCATCTTATGCAAGACCAACCGTCGACGTCTACATTTCGCTGGTCATCATCATCATCATCATCGTCGTCATCGGCTCTTGGTACATTTGCAAAAAAGCTAACGGAATTGAAATCGTGCGCATGGTAAGGGAAGTGTTCATCAATGTTTTCGTCAGTACCGATAGCCCACAACCATGAGCTGAGCTTTACCTTTTGAAAAAATCGATCTCTTGAAATCGAAGGGACACGTTCATAAACAGCGATTTTTTCAAGTTCTGTTGGGGAATCGGACGAATCTCGGAACCGGGAGAAATATGAAGCGAGGCCAAAACTAACTTCCATATTGTCCCCTATTGAACCTCGGCATGATGTGCCGAATTGTTCCCCTCACATAAGGAATGCTCAGCTAAGAGTACTGGAACCGAGAAGTCTCAAGTCCAGGCAGAGACTCACGCTTTTTTTCTACCATTTGGAGCGCAAAACATTGTCTTCTTCATCTTCACCGAAGTCTTCATCTTCACCGAAGCGCCCTACATCTCCTGCCGCTTTGATACGTTCATGGTCAGCAAGTGGGGTGCATATTAAGAACCAAAGGGCGGAAAATGACGTACTCAGGAAAATTATAATTAATGCATCACGAAGAAAATCAAACTTTCCCGAATTTGGGAATTGATCAAGGTTGAGACGTAGCGAAATGTCCAGAAAGTGGCGCATAAATAGCAGTGGGCTTCCTAAACTTTTTGAGGATTATGGCTACTTCTCTGGGAAGGATAAATGATAACCATCACTTCTTAGAAATTAGTTTATCAGAACGTATATCACATAAGACGTCTGGCTG